ATTTGTATGTTTCCTTTTATAGCTGAATAAATAATTAAATAAATAAATAAATATTTGTTTTAATCTGTTTTAATTTAGCGGTAACTCGTGTTTGTAAAATGTAAAACTCTAACTTATACAAAATTTGTTTAATTTGTTTAACTTATCGATGGACACATTGTAATCATGGTCAAAATTATACAATGTATTGATTAATCAACCTACACATCTAAACCGCATTTTAACCGCATACCCATGATGAATGCACACTTTCAAGCAAAACAAAGTATAACATTATTTTATCATGAAATAAGTTCAATGTAAACACTGTTTGTAGCTGGCTGTCGTGTTTCCGCTGTGCAAAATTTCACCCACTTTAAATTTCTGACCACTATGCACAATTCCTGAAAGTATCTTATTGAGAATGTGTTATTATATTATGTATAGAGTTCTATTTTTCAAATTTTAGTTTTACACTTTAAAATTTGTCCTATTTTTATATTTTTTTTCTCGTGTTAACTATGCAATTCGGGATTGGCCGATATCAGTGGTGCCTTGATTATTCATCTGTTGGCCTTTTTTCGGAGCCGGCATCATCTCAATGTAATTGTATTGTATATTTGCCAGTGTGGGGTAGTATATAAACACATTAATAAAATAAATAAACAGTATTTACCTTGTTTTAACATGTTAGCTTTGTCTGTGTGCTGCCGTTCGTGAGAAAAATGTCTGTTAAACATTTTTCTAGCCCTTATGCCTATACGAGCAACAAAACCTCTCCGACGGGGCTGGACTGGAAAAAATAATTGTATTCAAATATTATTAATGTTATTATTATTATACTGCTCATGAAGGGAATGGTGAAATCTATTGCCCCAAGGTGATGTGGACACATATCTTACGGTCTCCACACATCACCGAGGGGCTGGATGTCACTGTTCCAGGAATCTAGAGTAGTCAATATTTGTTTATATACCTCATACATAGATTCTACGAGACCTAAAAAATACTACACACCAAGCAGGCCGTCTAATATATTATAATAATTATACATTATATTATCTATTATAATAATATATTGAGTGTATCGAGACAATCCAATACTACTTCTTATTTTTTTTTTAAATTGTTATTATTAACATTGTTTTACAGGGATAATTGAAGGGCTATTTTTTGTGTTTTTGAAAACAAATTGGTCAAAATCTGTTTTTTTTTTTACTGATATAGGCTTATTTGTTTTGTTAGTAAGCCGTAACACGAAGTGTTGATTACAATTTATTGATGAGTACATAAATACTAAGTTAAAATTATTTTAGCCTCATTCATTTCAGGCGGCTCAAAAGCTGTTAGGTAATATACTGTAAGCCTAACACCAAGCTATACACCCTTCCACACTGGGGCGGATCCAGTGAGGGGTCATGGAGCCCCGTCCCCTAAACCTGTCAGTCCCGCCAAAAAATAAGAGAGAGAAAAGAAATTGAGAAGAGTTAAAAGGAAGAAACAGAGGAAAACAGGTAAGTGTACCCATGAGTTCAGTGGCGGATCCAGCAGTGGGCAAAATGAGAGTGAAATGAGATTATTTTACCACTCACTAATTTTGAATTTTCTATTGATTGATGAAGAATACAACGCATATCCCAGATGCAGAAATTTTTCAACGATTTCATAAATCAGTATGGAAAAAAGGCCAAAAGATGTAGACCTAAGACGGAGTTTTCAGCCATTATTACAGAATATAGCACTCAGGTTTTTAGAACAGCTTTCCATGATCAGTGGTGTAACGCCTGTTGTCCTGCAAAGTGTATAGACACTAGACAATGCTATATCCGCTATACAAGTGCACAATTTACCTTGTTTTTGCACGTCATCTTCAAATAGTCGGCGGTAGCGTGTCACTTCCATTCCATTGCTCCCACATGGCAACACATCCATGTCAAATTGGCGCACAATATGCATATGAGCGTCTCTACAATCGCAAGCAATGTACCTTGTTAATTCCACGCCCCTTGCACCGCTCTGACAAATCTTTAGTCCTCTTTCGAGGAATGTCAACACCTAGCAAATAAAAAACTGATCGTAAACCTACTGATGTTAATGACATGATTGATACATCATTACATTAAAAAAAAACCGGATTCCTTAAGTGTTTTAAATCATTGATAGTACCTTCTTACACACTCTCGGCGATGGTTCATCTTCCTGGGTAAGCTGAGCGGCATTGAAAATATTTCGTCTGATGATTGTTGTCTGCAAAACAAAAATAAGCCTCAGTCATCAGTAAAGTATCAGACATGCTCTTTGATACTCAAGTGCTTGTGGTTCTGTTTTTTTTATGGGTTTGTGTGTGTGTGTTTTTGTATGGGTTTGTGTGTGTGTTTTATGTGCTTGATGTTCCAAATAGCAAAATGGTATTTCTTTTATATACATACTTAATTTTTTATTATTCAATAATGATGGTGGTGTTGTTTATTAAGGTATTGATGATGATGGCGGTGGTATTGGTACAAATGACGACGATGATGATGATAATGATGATGGACGATAATGATAATGATGGTGTAAAAATTGCAATTAAAAATATGTAGAAGCCTTTATAGTAAAAATAGAGAAATATTAACAGAATTGCAAGAAATACAGTAGATAACAAAACTAATACTACCATTATTTAAATTATGATTAATATTATGAGATGTAATATGCCAACTAGATTTTCTAGTCAATGGCTGCCAATAACTGATATATTTTCAGTGGCTAAATTTATTATTATTATTATTATTATTATTATTAATGTATCGATTACCCGTATTGCCATATTTTTATTGTTTTAAAAAAATTAGACATCGCAAATTTCGAATATAACATTCCATAATCTACCATTATGAATAAACTTGTCATTTAAATTCAAAGTAATATAAGTACTGTTAAGTGGCAGAGATAAGTGATGTTAAATTGCACTAACTACCTTAAACATACGACGATGCTTGATTGAGGCTACACTCAAAACCACGAGGTGAAATTCATCGATATTCACCTCCACATGCTCATAAGATAATGTAGGCTCAACGTCTTTTACTTGGAATCTCTCAATGAACTTAGTTACTCCACGTTGGAAAAGATCGTCAGGTAGATAGTTGCCAAAGTCATGAAAGATAGAAACTGCCCGAATCCCGTAATCCTTAGTTTGTGTGGCATGTATTCGTTTAGGCTTCAAGCGCGAAAGAACGTAGAAAATACGTTCACCACCCTTAAAAACAGGAAACACTGTACATTAAAAATTGTCAAATATTCAAAAGGAAAAAATAAAATAAAAAAAGAAACCATTTGAAACAAATTAATGACACGCTTATGATAATTATAATTTGTTTTTATCAACTGATTAGATAAAGCATATAGCCTATTAGAACAAAGAGAAAACAGAATATATTGAAAAAAATATATACCATTGTAATGTTTTTCTCACACACCAGCCCAAACTTCTGCATGAGAG